CTGGGCTAAATGCATTAGAGCATGGTGCCATTTACTTCTCGCCACCACGTGGGAGGTGGGGGTTCAATCGTCACTTTACAGAGGAGGACCTGGAGGCCCCGAGAGGTGAGGTGGATTACCCATGTCACCCGCCTCGTAACTGGCCAACTGGGGTTGAAACTCAATACTGTCTCACTCCCTTGGGGCCATCTCATGCCCAGCTCACCGAGTTTTGCAGCAGGACAGGATGGATATACATGTGTGAGGCTAAGCGACATGGGTTCCTGGACAGCACGGGCTGTGCCTGACCCATAACTATGTCCCCTGCAGGTATGAATTCAGAGTCCCACATCCAGCAGGTGCTTGGTCATTCTTGGGCCTTCGAAGTGCAGTGTGGGCTCCCGAAGGGTAGGGCAGAGATGGCTGATTTTCTACCCTAAAACCTGCTCTCCCTTCCTTCTGATTAACTGAACCCCCCTTTATATGTGACATATACACACACGCATGCATATATATTTTTTTATTTTAGAGGGAGGGGAAGGGAGGCAGAAAGAGAGGGTGAGAAACATCGATTGGCCGCCTTCCGTACGCACCCCAGGGGGTGGAACCTACAACCCAGGCCTGTGCCCCGACTGGGAATCAAACTGGCGACCTTTCAGTTTGCAGGACAATGCCCAACAAACTGAGCCACACCAGCCAGGACGAACCTCTCTGTTTTCTAAGTGGTTACTCTGCTCTGGTTTTCCATCCTGCTGCTATAACACATATGTGATGGCTAAATCTCTAGCAGCCACCCTGGACCATGGAGACAAGGGCCACTCCCTAGGACCCTGACACCTTCACAAAGCGCCCAGGAATGCCTATCTCTGGACTTCGTTTAGATGAGAAATAAAGCTCAGTCTTGCTTAAACCACTACTATTTGGGGTTCTTGTGGCATATTCCATCAAACCTGATAAACGGCAAAGAATGGTTGTGGAAGAGAAAAATCTTAACTTAAATTTGAGAAGTGCAGGATTCCATGTGACAGACAGAATTAGTCAACAGAGAGCTCAGAATCTTCTTCTGCGGCTCAGGGAGGAAAGGCTGGACAAGGAAGCTGCAACCGGCTGCTGCTGCAGGTCTAGAACACTGAAATAACCTGTTAGCCAGGAGCCAGGAGGTTGTGAGTAAAAGTGGTGTGATAGTATCAGCATTTTAGCAAGGTGAATGTAGCAGCCTTTCCCAGGCCAGCAGAGCCAGGAGAGCTTGGATGAAAGAGCTATTCAGTCAAATGTTTCCTGAATGCCTAGGAGGTGCCAGGCATTGTGCTTCCAGGAAAGACTACACAGGAGAGAATCCCAGAGCTGAGTCTGAAAGATGTCAGGTGAGCACCAGGCGCTCCAATATGCTCTTAGCAGTGACTTCCATGCCTGCCTCCACAGCCCATACAGGCTCAGATTCCCAGGCCCATCCAGGACAGTTTGACCCACAGACAGGAGCAGGGCTCAGGATTCTGTTTTTTTAACTTACTGTCCCCAGGTGATTCATGTAGTTAGTCTACAGACATACTAAGTAGGCTAGAAGCAGCTCCTTACCTGGTACCTGGAACATAACAGGTTTGGATGTTTATTAAATAGGTGAACAAATTCACTTCCATACTGTTAGAAGACAATAAACCAGTAGATTTTAAAAGACTCAATAACAGTCAAAACATTTTTCTGGTTAAGTGAACATGGGGTTTTTTAGCTATTTAGTTAACCACAGCATAATCTAAGGTCACTAATAATGTTCTATGATCTATCTCTGCAACTGTTTCAGCAAAAAGGTGTTTCTATATCACATGAATATAGCCTGAGAAGAGACCTGCCCATGTGAGCATGAGTTCTTTGCCAGCTCACTGTAGCCCTGCTCTGCATCTTGCAGGCATGGTGGAGAGCCAGAGCCCAGCCTCAGGGAGCACCTAGGAGCTCCTGGCTGCCTCTAGATGGCTGGGTAGGCAAGGAGCTGTCTTCCTCTTCCCAGAGTGTTCTCATACACTTCAAGGCAACTCTCTCTGGGAGTGAATGTACAAGAGAGAAAGTGCTCCTTAAAGGGGAAACTCTAAAGGGAAAAACACTGGCCTGGGATACAGATCAGTACTTCACCCCCCAATTAGCCTTGGGCAAGTTTCCTCTCCTGGTGTGCTATATGCTTTTATTTTTAATCCTCATCCAAGGATATGTTTTTACCAATTTGAGAGAGAGAGAGGAAGAGAGAGAGACATCAATAGGAGAGTGAAACATTGATCAGTTGCCTCCCACACGTACCTCCACGTACCTCCACCGGGGATCAAATGGGCAACCTAGGGGTGTGCCCTGACTGGGAATCAAACCCTCAACCTTATGGTGTATGGGACAATGCTCCAAACAACTGAGCCACCTGGCCAGGGCTATACTATATGCTTTCAAGATCCCTTCCAGCTGTGATGCAGCCAGGTTGAGAATTTCTACATTTTCCTTCTTCCTAATTAATACTGAAAAATAATTCTCAGTATAAAAATGCACTCCCATATACAGCGTGCGTTTGCTGCCGGGGATATAATATTTAAGATAAATTGAGGCCCATGCCCTTAAGGAGCTTGTAGTCTAGAAAGGCAGACAAATAATTTATTCAATAATTATATAAGTACAACTGTCATAAATGTTACTAAGAAAAAGTATTTGGTGCTACAAAAGAGTGCAATGAGAGCTCAGGAAAGATTTACCAAGCAAAAAAAAAACAACCATTTATGCTGAGATCTGAAAGCAGAGAACCACCAGTTAATAGCAGCAATTTTCTGCTAGAACTGATAAATCCTTCTGATATGGCCACCTGGCCAGAGGCCCCCAGTCATCACCCCTCATGCCCCAACAGGGTGGTGTTAATACCTCAGGTCATTTGCAGTAGCCTCCAGGCCTTGGATGGCAGCTCTGGCTCTCAGAACTGGGCCCAGCAGAGGGAAATACATAAAACACAGTCTCCACACTGGGAACATGGGCCTGGGGCTATACCTGCCCCTGGACCAATATTTCTAGTGTTGAATATGTGCCAGGCATTATGCATAGGGATAGGAGATAAGATGCAATATTGTCACAGCACCAGGAAGGTACACAAGAGAGGAAGAGGAAGACATGTCTTTCAAATGGGGGTTCTTTGGACAGCTCCAAGGATGTGATGGTGTCTGATTAAGGAGGAGACTTGGAAATGGAAAGAGAAAGCATCCTGACAGTAGAACAACATAAGCAAAGGCACATAGGCTAGTAAGCGCGCACTAGGTGGACGTAATGAGCTGCAGCTTGCGATGTGGGATGGCAGAGATCTGGCAATGATGTAGAGTAGGACTGAACTGCTACAACTGGCTCAGATAGTGAACAGATGACAATGCTGGTCTTCAGGGTGGTGTCTGGTATCAAATGACAGCTCTAGACTGGCTGTATGACCAAGGGCCCTTGGTTTCCTCCATTGGACTAGCACAGAGTTTCTCAAACATTAGAGCCCTAAGGATCACCTGGGACAGGTTGCCAGGCCCTACATCCAGTTGGAAGACTCCAGTTCAATAAATCAAGGTAAGCCCCAGGCTGAAGAACCACAGGTCAGACAGTGGGTCCCAGGGGCCCCTCTAGCCACAAGCTCCAGGCCTTGGATTCTTGGCCTCCTACAGCATGAAGCCCAGGCCTGGGTGACCTTTCCTGATTATGGTGGGTATTCCTGATAAGTGGGGGACAGACCTTTGATGCTGTGTAGGGACAGTAGAAGTGGAGAGCTGTGGAGGGCTTGGCCTGGACTTTCTCCCAGCCTAGGAACACTCTCAAGAGAGGGAAAAGCTAAGAGTAGCCAAGGGCCCAAAAGGAAAAGGCCATTCTGGGCAGCTGGTGTAAAGGCATATTCAGGACAATTAAGATGTAAGGTGCATGTAGGAGAAGAATGAGAAGAAAAGCTGGAGAGGGGGGCCAGACCCACAACACAGACGGCCCTACCAAGAACATGGGACTTGATTCTATAGGCAACGAAGAGCCACAGCAGACCCCTTAACCTCGCAGGATCCTGGAAACAGGTTCCCTGAGTCATCTACTGTTTGTACACATAGAACACTACGCTTGCCTCATGACCACTCCCCACCTCCAACATCAGTTTCCATACTTTAAGATCACCTACTACTCCTACCCAAAAATCGGACCTTGGATCCCCTCTGTGCAACAACTAGGTCAAAATGAGGCAAGCGATTTGACTGAGGCAATTAACACTATGCCAGAAACCCAACCTCTGGGATGATGAGGAGAGGCTGGTCCATCTTGGAACAAGGTAACTAGTTCTGCTCTCCCCAAATAGCCTCTGTACCTTACAACTTTCCTTCTCTTCCTCCCTTGGAGAAGCCGGCCACTTCCCTAAATGAGTTCCTGATCCTTGAAGGTAGGAGAGAAGAGGGCACAAAGAGGGGATGAGATGGTTCACACTGCCTGGGTTTGGGCTTGCCCAGTTTCCAGTGAAATATTAATACCTTAAAAACTATAAGAAATGTCACAGCAACTTCGACAATACAAGCGGCCTCACTAAGACCCTGTCCAGAAGACTCTGCACAGGAGGATGACTATTGGTGCCTTCAAAAGACCTGCTTCCTCCTCAAAAGTCAAAGACTGAGAATAAAAACAGATGCATGCACTGAAGGTACTACTGAATCTTGCAACGTTAGCACAGAAGGGGTGTGGCGAGTCTCTCGAGGGGACCACAGTTAATGGGGTCAGAGAATATCTGGTCAGGGTTGTCAAGTTAACACCGCGGCTCCAATCCTGCACCAGCTGAGTGTGTCTGGCTCCCTGGAAACGCCCACGGATGATCCCTTCAGCATGCAGTGAAGGCACGTTTCGGGCGGGGCGTGGTGGTGAGGGCAGAAGCTTCTATAGGCGTTGGCAGCGGACAGCGCAGCGCGGACACTCCCCTAGCAACCCGGCCAGGCGTGCGCACTAGACGCCCTGGGGACAGGGTGAGCCGCCCGCTCTGAGCCCCCAGCTGCGGCCCCGCTCACCTTGCATTTGAAACCGGCGGCGGGCGGCAGCAGCTCCCGCAGCAGGGCCTTGGCCACCTCGCGGCTGGCCTCCTCGCTCACGAAGTGCAGGTTAAGCACCTCATGAGCCTCGAACTTGGCGAGGCGAAGCAGGGACCGGAGCGCGATGCGGGCCTTGGCCTGCAGCGCGGCATTGTGTTCCGCCTTGGTAAACATCATCAGCAGGTGGTAGTCCACCGGACCGGCCCCGCCGCCCTCCAGGTTCTTAGCCTTGGCACCCAGAGCTGGGGCCACGGAGCCGCGTGCCAGATCCGGCGCCAGCGGCGAGGGCGCGGCGGGGGCTCCGACGCGGGCCTCCTTCAGCCTCTTGGTGGCGCTGGAGAAGGTCTCCCGGCCCGAGCCTAGGTAGTAGAAGGCACAGACAGCGAGCGCCGCGGCCAGCAGCAGCGCGCAGTAATGGGAGCGCACAGCGCCCAGGCGCGCCATGGCCCGAGTGCATGGGGGCCCGCCTCGGAGGATACCCATGCGCCGAGAACGGGGGTACCTAGCACCGGGATAGGACCCGCGGAGACAGGTACCCCCAGCCACTTAGTGGCACCCGCGGCTGGAGGCGGCCATGGAGAGGGCGGAGCCACGCTTCCCAGAGCCAATCCCTGGGCGCTGATGCGCGAAGAGGCGGGGCCAGGGGTCCTGGCAGCCGCAGGGTCCTAGATGCACAGGGATAAAAGCTGGAATGAATGAGTTCGCAGCAGTCTCTCCAAAGTGGTTCTGAGCCGCTAAAGAGGACCCGGATGTCGAGAAGGCCAGCGGGCTGTCCCAGCTGTGGTAACTATACGTGTTATTAAGTTCCTTGTCGCGGATGCTAGGATCGAAGCTAAGCCTTGAAAGGAATTGAGGCCCCCAAGGCAGGCGCGGTTAACAAAACGACTCAATAGCACGCACAAAGAAAAATTATTTTTTGTCTCTATACCTTCCCCCCACCCCAATTTCTTGGAGGCTTAAATTCTCTCCCTGACTCCCTTCACACCTTGGGAGCTGGGGCTGGGGAATTTAAACTAACAAGTTCTAACCTGGTTGGGTAACTCAGTTGGTTAGGGTGTTATTGTCCCCATACCCCAAGGTAGTGTGTTCCATCTCTGGACAGGGCTCATACAAGAAGCAACCAACGAATGCATATGTAAATGAAACAACTAATCGATATTTCTCTCTCTCTAAAATCAATAAGTAAAATATTTGAAAAGCAAAAACATAAACTAACAAGCCCCTTCGCCATTCAGTGTTGTAGGGTTGACACAAGGTGTATACAAGTCGCTTGCCCACCCCGCTTGCCATCTCTGAGGCAGGCGAGTGGCCAAGGCGGCAAAAGACAAATACCACAGGATCTCACCTACAAGAGGAACCTAATAAACAAAGCAAAAAAACGAGCAAAATAGAACCAGAAGCAAATAAGCAAGGAACAGGCTGAGTGGCCAGAGAGGATGGGGGAGGGGATAAGGGGGGGAAAGAAGGGGAAGGGTCTAGTCAAGGAACAGATATAAAGGATCTATGGACACCGACGACAAGATGGGGGTTGACTGTGTGGGGGCCGGGGCAGGGGAAAGCAAAGGGGGAAAAATCGGGACAGCTATAATAGAACAATAAAATTTTTAAAAATAAAATAAAAAATAAAGGATATGACCAGCAGAGGGACCCCGCCGCCCAAAACTTCAGAATAGCTCAGAAAGCCCCAAAGGAGTAATATCAGAGATGATGATACTAATTCTTTTCTTCGTTTCTTTAGCAAACTTCAACGCTTTTTAAACACCTTAATATGTACTGGATAGTTTTACAAACTGTAAACTAAGGCACACTGAGGTAAATTCTCCAAAATCACACACACTGGCGGTTTTGACCCTAGACAGACACTGTCAGCGACATAAAAATTCATTAACTTCAGTCTCCTAAGGACTGATGATATACCAAAGTGTAAATAAACATGTAGAAATGGTCTGCATGCATAAAAGAGACGGAGGTGAAAATGCATGGACAAATGCACATACAAATTCTCTCACCAGTTTAAGGTGCCATGCCATTACTTTTCAAAGTGTGTTTCTCAGACCACGATTCATCTCATGTTCTTGTTCTCATCTCTTGTTCTCATCTCATCTCTTGTTCTTTTCAACCGGAGCAATACTTTTCTGGAAACATTGGACCTCTGAAACAGGCTTGGCAACAAGTTCAATGCAAACTACTCACCTTTAAAGAAAAAAAAAAAAACCAATGGCAGAATTAACTCAGCTAGGTAACAGGTTCTTACTTTGGTTCATATAATCCTCGCAACTCTAAGAGGTAGTATTTGCACTTTACAATAGAGGAAATTAAGATTTAGAGAAATAAGTCTCCCAAATGTAAATGGCTACTAAGTAATTGAGCCAGGATCCTAATCCAAGCCTCATTTCTTCCAAAACTCAAGTTTTAGCCGAGATTAGCACTGAAAGCACTAATTTGAGCTCTGAGTTATGTGTATTGTACCACAACTTTCAGCAGAAGACACTGTGGTTAAGAAAATAAGTCTCCTAAGAGCTTGTTAAAAGCAAGTTAAGAAAACTGGACTTCGAGGCTGGAAGACCACTCTGCCACTACAAGGTGATAGACAACAAGCAAGGTACTAAATCTCTCTGGCCTGCAATTATACCTATATGTAAACTGGGGCTAATATTGGTGCCTGTGCCTCATAGGGTTATGAGAGACAATAGATTAAAAAGCAGAACAGTGCCTAGCACATAGTAAACAAATATAAATTACTCCAGAAATGCCAAGCTCTAAAAAAATAAAAATAAAAAAGTCTACATATCCAACAAATACCAAAATATAATTTAGCAACCATAGCTTTCCTTGGGCGTTTACAAAGACTCAACCCCAAATCTCCATTAAGACTTCATTACATTTCCCGCATAGCAGTGTGCTATTGCTGTATTATTACATTCTAATTATTGTTTCTTAGAAAGGAGAAATAATTATCAAATTGTGACTTTTAGCCCCCCCTGAGCTGCACCGCCACTAAGGTGGGTTCTTCCTCTGCCACTTAGTCTAGAATTTATTCAACAAATATTTTATTCTTCAGACCTTTATAAGAACTCACTGCTTCTGGAATTTATGACTAAGAAATGAATAACAAAGTAATTTAAATTTTACATAAAAAATCAGTAGACACAGAAAAATACTCAAGAGACTGGTCTTATCTCCAGATTATTTTGTTCCCAATAATTTGACCATGGGAAAAGTTAATTTTGCAGCTTCTTGAAGTATGCTGTTGACTGAAAGCTAAAACAGTGGGTTGAAGGTAGCCAGTCATTTATTCAGTAGATACCTAGTGACTACTATACAACATGCCAAACATTGTAGCACCTGAGGATACAGCAGTGAAAAAAACAAGAAACCCGGCCTTCCTGGAGTTTATATTCTAGCAGTGGAAAAATAGACAAACTAAGGAAAAGAGCCTTACTGTCTTCCTCTGTACCCCTCAGCAGAAGCCACCAGGGTCTTCTCAGAGTTTCACCGAACTGGAGCTCAGCTGCAGGGCGGGGCGGAAGCCAAAGCCGCATGTCCTCCACATGGCCCCTCTGGACTGGCAGCCAGCGCCTGTGCCTGGGCAAGCACTGGCTCCACCATCTGCTATTTGCTCACCTGCTGCTGCAGGTCTGATGACCCCGGTGGCTATTACTGCAGCTGGTGTGGCTGTGGGCTCTGGTCAGCCACACACTCAGTCGTGCCTCCACTGGGGGCTTCAGTGAAGGAAATGTGAGGTAGCAGCTAGGAATGAGCCAACAGAGGGGAAATAAAGCAGAGCCCTCACCATTACAATCTAACAAAGAACATAATATAGGAGGCTAGAAACAAAGGGGAGACATGTCTCACCAATTAATTCTGCAGCCCTGAGCCTGGTTTGATAAGGCTGCTAGGTATCCTGAGCATCACAAGCAAAAATAGCGCAGGAAGAGCGGAATCTGTGCTGAGGGAGAATGTAACAATTTCACTAATTAAGACAAAGAGTCTTTACTAGTTGGGAAAGAAAGCCTTTGTAGCTGTACATTATTCCCAAGATTTAGAAGGGGGAGCAGGAGGGGTAGGTATATAACCCCTGAACCCCAATAGTTGGCGTACTTAGATTAGCTTAAGTACCCACTTGTAGCTGGCTCAAATGTATAGAACAAACTTACTAACTGACTAACAAACTTACTAAAAACTTTATTTCCTCTATACGTGGGGTATTTAGACTAGCTTTGTACTTCTGTGCATTTCATAAATAAACTTGCTACCTCATTTCCACTATACATTGTTGTCTTTCACTTGAATTCATCTCTTGTGGGTGAGACAAGAGCTGAGAAACAGGCTGGTTGGGGGATAGGGACTGACTCGGTCTCTGCTGTAGCAGAAGTAATGCTGAGCCCTCAAGGCCTGACCTCACTTACCAGGAGGCTCAAGGAACTCAGTCGCTGCGTTCCAGCAGCAGCTGTTTGCACCCCACCACTATGAAACAGTTCTTGGAGTGTGCCCAGACCAGGTTGACCTTAAGATTGGTGTGGGTTTCAGCAAGGTGCTGAAACAGTGCAGATTTGCAAATAGATTAGCCTACTCAAGAAGTTCAAATTGAAGAAATAGAAAATCATCTCCCAAGACTAAGTTTATTTATAGTGTGAAAATATAACTGATAGTGAAAGTATAAAACTACCAGTTAAACCTCTCCTGTATCAAAACAAAACAAAATAAAAACCCTCTCCTCTACTGTTTATAGTTTCTTTGCCTCAGAATTGCAATGGAATAGGGTGTTCTTGCTGTACAGAAGTTCATTGAGGTGGTATTGAGTTTGGGGCTGAGCAAATGTTTGTGTGGCCTCCTTAAACAAGCTTTTGTGATATTTCTGTGTGTGAATCAATTAGAATAAAGTGATTTTCTTCAAAAAGAAAAAAAGAATATAGAGTGTCAGATGGCAATATGTGCTATTTCCCCAGCTTAAAACAGACATATTTGGGTGAATAATAACATAGCTAAATACACAAAAAATTTTGGCAAGCACAATTACACTTCAGTTCTAACTTTAACTTTGGCCAAGTTCTCTGACTTCTAACCAGAGACTAGAGAACATTGGTTTTTACTGTTGTATAATTTCTACATCTATAATATTGTGTTGATTATCAGATTTTTTTTGTATTAACTACAACCCATATTGTCAAGGATACAGAGAAACAGGCATATTCCTTCACAGCAGATGAGGGTGTGTTTATTGGTGCAACTTTACTGGAGGGCCTTTTGGCAATCCTAAAATCTTTCTGGCCTCTAAGAGAACTTTGAGTTCTCTCTCCTATTCAAATGACTGTTTCTCCTTAACACAGTGGTTCTCAAACCTTGGTTGACATTAGAAGTTCCTGGAGACGCTTAATAAAAACAGAAAGGCTCAGGCCCTATTGCTCTTCAATGAGCCTGCACCTCAATAGTGACTGTTTTATAGATCAAAATTTCAAAAGCCTTGCCCTAGACCTTCACCC